AGCTGCATCTGACCAAGCGGCACTGGGAGTCACAGGCTGCCCTGTGGGAAAGCAAGAGCAGCCAGTGAAGGCAGGTTTGGAAACATGGAAAAGTGCTTGAGGAAAGAGGGGGACTTTAAATTGCTCCAGTTTCAGGGACAGCAGCTTCTGAGATGCTCAGCTCTTCCCAGAATTCAAGACTTTGCTTCCTCTTGGCGTTTTCAGCGACAGCAAGAAAGGTTCCTGGGGAAAGATGTGAACACGTGTTTCACCAGTGAGTGGTGCCCAAATACCAACCGGTTTTACAGGTGCATCTTTATTTGCCTTCTCCCTGTTGTGCCACCACACAGGGACTGGAAATATGTTTAAAATCTCTGATGTTGGAGGCAGCACCAGGTGGTTAGATCTCAATGCCATAACTTTTCCATCTCTTTGGTGATGGATAGAAAAAAACCCCGAACACACTGACTATGCCCCTGGGATACAGAAAATAAAGATACAGACTGAGGTGGAGGGAGTCTAGCAGAGGAAAGGAGCTGATGACCTGGCAGCTTGGTTAACCACAGGGGATCTTTGTTAGTGTGACACTTTGGTCATTATCCACTTACAGATTAGTTAGACCTGCTTATGCATTTGTCAGCCATTTGGTCATCCGACCACCAGAGTTTGTACCTTTCCTTACGCTGCTGTTAGCCATGTCCTGCTCTTGCTTGTTTGTCCCGAAGTCTTTTTCCTGCTGCCCACGACGTGGCGAGGAGCTGGGCACGCGGCAGTTTTGATGCAGGGCTGCCCTGCGCTACACCGGCTGCGTTTCTGGACCTGTGATTATTTCCATTAGTCTCTAGAGGTCCCCAAACACACAGCCTGGACGTTCAGGACCTGAACACAGTGCTCACCTCCACACACGTACATGGATTTTCTCCTTGTTGCACCGACCTACTCTACAGTTCGCCCACAGCGCGATGCTCTGGAGTCCAACACCTGCTTGGGTTTTACTATGAGCTTTTGTAGGAAAGAAGTGTCTGTCCCACAATTAACTCAGTTGCTTCCTGGGGTGAATGATGCCTTTGGACATTGCCCTAAGTGTACTCTCCACACACTGGTATGTGTTGTCCTGTATCTTCCTTGTCCTGTCAACCAGAAACACCAGCACACAGACCTGGCTGTGCCCATGTAGTGCTATATATGGCCTCAGACATTATTGCACAGCCCTGTCTCCTATCAATGTTCACCTATATATGTACTCACAGACATATATACAGCAGCCACTGAACCTCAGCAATATATACCTACAGGAGGCCTGTGATCACAAATAAACTCACATTCCTTGAATACACCAATGCAAACAAGC